CCCTCGTTAGGGAGATGCGCTCGTGTTTACCTGACATTTCCTCTCCGGAAGTCCCCGGAGCCGCAGCCACCCGGCCCCCCGGCTCCGGCGAAGCAAAACAACGCACGCTTTCTGCCTCTTGTATTTTTTTAAAAACGTCACTGGCAATCCCCTAATTTAGGGGAGACTGACTCATCGTTTCTAAACGCTCAGACTTGCTGGTACAGTCGTTGTTTATTGAGGCACGGATGTTCTGCTGCTTCTTGTAGGGAATGGAGGGAGCGACGGCCTAAGGACCTCTCAGCGTCTTAACCCCGTATAAATATTTCTGCTGCTGTCATCAACTTGGTACCTGAACGCCCAGAGTGGGGTTTTCAGGGGAGCACAGGCAGCTATTTACCGATCGCTCCAGTGGGAGCCAAGCACTGAAGTACTTCTGAGGAGTGGAGCCGATCTTCCATAGCGTAGACTAAGCCCGTTTTGAACTGACCCTGCCCCACTCCTTCGGGCAGATTTCAGAGGGCAGTTGCTCGAAGATACCTGTAAGTTCTCCGTTGTTTTCTTCCCCTCATTTTCTGTTTCCGTGAGTTGCTGTACTTGCTGATGTAAACCTCGAAAACCTGAGATCTTAAGTATGTAAATGATGAGTACTACGGCATCTAGGCAGCGCTCCAAGCCAGTGTTTCTGGACCTGTATGCTCTGTGGCACTGTGTTTACAGTGGCATCGTGAGGGAGTTGTGTAATGGCAGCACTCGCCTGGGAACACCTATTCTAAATTGTTGGCACCGCCTTGGTAGTTACAGCCTGTTTCACCCTTGCCTTGAAGAAGCTGAGCCACTGTCAGCGATTAAAGGTAGTTAGCAGTCCCCTGGCTAGTATAAGAACCCAAGCCAATAATTATGACTCAGTAGAGGCAAGACATCTGAAAAGAATCCATGAGTCCCAAAAAGAGTCATTCTTGCAAAAAAGTTAACCACCATTCTAGACACACAGTATTAGTTACACGTACAAATAAGATACCAGTTTGTAAAAGTACCTGCTAATTTGCTAAAGAATTCTTGCCCCCCCCCCCCAAGGGAAAAAAAAAAATTAGAAAGGTACAACTCTCAAGTATAGTTGTGGCCTGCTAGGCTTCAGTAATTTGCTCAAAAGTATTGATAGACTTGGATGCGCTGAGGTAGAGAGCTTGGTATCATCTGCCTCTTAAAAGTGCCGTCTACTAGATCTTCCTCTGTTAGCCTCTCATATGTTGCCAGAAGAGTGACAGAAAAAAACCATCATCGGACTTTGCACAAGTCCTGCAGAAAGGATGGGACTGAGCTCACCCGAGAATGCATTTGGTATACACTTTGAAGGTCCCCTTTCACAGTTCCCAAAGATGATTCTTGGTGCTTTGTGTAGTGCTGTAATCAAATATACCTGTACCCAGAAATACCTATTCTCTGCACCCCGCTCAGCAGCACGTTAGCTATCTTTAGGAAGCCGGGGTGGGTGGGAATCAGGTATATGTGTACATCTCCAGGTTGGAAAGTTTTGGAAGATGTGGAGCTGACACCCATTGCCCATCTCTGCTGCTTTTCCTCCTCCTCCTCTGCTTTCTTTTTACTTTGGCCTCTTGCCTCTGAACTGCAGCAGGTGAGAGATGGGAGATTTTGAATGGAGTCTCAGTTCTCTTGTGTTAGGGGCCTGTTTCTTACTCTGGTGGAGGACTCACAAGCAGAAGCTTAGGGAATGATTGTCATGTGTCAGAGAAGGAGGAGACTTGTGGGCTTAATTTTCTTCCTATTTTCTATACTTCACAGGAGGATAAAGTATCTAACTCTCCTCCTTCTGCTACCAAGCCCCTTCGCTCTGATTACAAGAAATCTTTCCTGTTTAAAAACCCAAATCTCTGGGTTTTTAAAGTTTCTTGAGGCTGTTACCTTACTAAAGATCTAAACTCAGCAGTGGGAATCAAGGGAACCTATAACCCAGATCAACAACTCAGGCGACTACTGTGTAACATATATATTATGTATATATAATATTATATAACATATCCTTCATATAACAGATAAATATTCCAGTAATTATGGTTATTACAGTCATTATGGTTATGGTATCTCATCAAGATAAAGTTCAGAATTCTTAATATGAGGAACACAAAATCCCAAACCTCCAAACATGTTCCACAAATGCAGATACTGAATATGTGAGGATAGCCGGTATAAGGAATTCTGGCTGCCTCCTTTCTCTTTCTCTGCCTTAGTTGAATATTGCTATATGAAATACTGTGTAATTACTACAGCTGTGTCTCTATTTATTAGAAAATACAGTGTCTTCTGATCATTAGTCATTGTACTTTATAGGTACAGACGAATCATGAGAGTTATTCCTTCTAATGAATTGCTGTTTTTCACCATTTAATAGCTTAATCCCGCTCTTCTACCGTTACATATGGGGGTTTTTTTGCTTGTTTGTCTGTTTACGCTTTATGAGGCTAAATCCATACTTACCTGGGTGATAACAACAGAATTTTACAAGTCTCTTAATTTTGCTTATGGTTGAAGGTTTTGAAACAAAACTGCAAAAGGTTAACATGCAAGATGAGCAGAGCTGAGGTTTGCAAGTACGAAGACCAGCAGACAAGTCATAGCTCACGCTTTCATGCAATACGCGTTGCCTGTGCACTGGACAGTGTACACCATTTGCAGATATTTGGGCCAGAAATACCTGTTCGTGTCAGCAAATGATGTGGGATTAATGGATTCTAAAATCTGGAAAACAAATCTAGCCGAGTTGGTCCTTTTTCTGCTTCCCAGTAAAGGCTCAAGAGCTTCACGAACTTCCCAAACACTTACTGAACGTAGGCCTGCCATTCTAAACTTTTTGTCTTTTTTTTTTTTTTTTTTTTAAGTCAAGTCCTGCTTAAGAAAATGGGTATATTTCACTGGACGTTACAGCTCCTCATCTCTTCCTCTGCTTGCTCTGAGACTGTTGCACTCACTGCCTCTTTTCACGTGTGTTTTCTGGCGGCTGCCATCTCTTTCTTGCACCTGCTGCACCTAGTGAGCTTAAACAGCA